AAAAATATTGACCTTAAACAGAATTTTGTTCATCAATCGCAATTTTCTTTTTGCATTGTACTCAATTGTTTATGCATTGGGTGATCATGTGTATTTAACAAATAATCCAGGTTATATGCTAGCCTAAAAAGATATCTCCTAGGGGTGCCAAAAGGTTGGGTCAACAACCCAGTTCCAGGTCTGCTCAAGTCCACTTTAGGGAAGCTTACCCTGAGGCCTCCAGATCCACAGATTCATTGTACGGCATCTAGCCTATTGAGGCATTAAAGTAGTGGCTATGTAGAATTCCAAGATATAAAAATAAAAAAATTTCTTCTTTTTCTTTTATTAATTGTTGGAATTTCTATTTACAATTTCCATAAAATAAAAACGTTACAAAAATAAAACCAACCACAATCTAGGATCTTTTTAAAACTTATGGCCAAAATAAAACTTTTATTCAAAAGTTAACTGAACTCGAAATCACAATTAGGAAATATGAATCAAGAACAGCAAAAATAAAATAAATAAACTGGGAAGGCTTACTTGACTTTCGCTAAGGATTACCCACTTAAGACTTCACACACGCCACACCCGATCACCGATCCATGGCTCATTTGATCCTTAGATCATGCTGAATCTACCAATCTGAATTGGCAAGCACATTCAGATTGCCAATTTAATCCCGCGGGGCATTCCACTCTGGGCTGCGTGTGCCCCCTTTCTCTCTTGGCAGGTCTATGCCACCCCAAATTCTTATGGGGAGTGGCATGCCACCTTAGAGAGAGAGAGAGAGCATTAAAGAGAGGGAGAGAGAGAGAAAGAGAGAGCGAGGAGAGAGGAGAGTGGCATGGAGAGGAGAGTGAGAGATGGAGATAGCTGATGTACTAAGAATGAGGGGGAGTCCCCTAGTTATATAGGCCTAAAGGGCCCAAAGGTGTTCCAATCAGATTAGGATCAGCATTATCTAGAATATTTAGGTGAGAGAGAAATAATCTGAATCATTGATCTCTAAGACCAGCCTTCATGATTTAGAGAAGATATGTAGGAACCTTATCCCATACGATTTGACCCATATCCACTTCTAATCCATCTAGATTATAATTAATCAAAAAATATCTCTTGATTTATTTAAAAAATTCTTTTTTTATCTCATCAAGGGATATTTAGGAATTTCAAAATAAAACAAATATGGTCTAAATAATCTAGATCCTATAAAAATATCACAAAAGATTTACTTAAAATATATCTATGAATATTTTTACCTAACCAAAAAAGATATTTTCTATAATAAAAATGACACCCTCAATATTTCCCAAAATAGTGAGAAAAATGAGGCGTCACTCTATGTGGGGTGCATGGCCCATGGGGGCTCCACGTCCCACACCATGTGGATCCCACATGTGTAGGGGCTGGGCCCTTAGCCCCCCCAACGTGGGTCCCACCACATAAGACCATTATTTTGAAAAAACCCCCTTTCTAGGAAAAACAAATTCAGAAATAGCCTTTAGGGGAAATTTATTCATTGAAAATCAATTTTAAAGTTCTAAAAAATTCAAAAATCACATAAGCATAAATACTGTTAAAAACAATATTTTTAGGGTTAAATAAAAATAAAAAATACATAGAAATACCTCTAGAAGTGGATTGATATCAATAGGCAAAAGTGACTATCAAAGCACTCCACCAATGCTAATATCCATGATCCACAACAGTCTTCTCAAACCAACCAAGCGAAACCCATGACCTGTGCTGAGGCTTATGATTGGCCCGTCAAATTTAGCCAATAAACAATGGAAACATAGTCCCATGTATGTGGATTACAGGTTCTCCCATTAAGAGCAAGTCAAATGCACATATCACTATAATGCAAGAGGATCTCTCTGTGCACATGTAAACGTATCCCTCTATAGGGTTGCTTCCTAGTGTACATGTTGTATGGAAGTTTTCTTAAGGATTTAGCCCTCACTCTCACAAGTCTACATTTGCACATAGGAGACTACGAAGCTCTCTAGGCCTACAAAAAAATTTATAGAGGGTATTGGACATGACCTGCGTTTTGGACATTTCCTGGGTTATGCCTAAGAAAAAAGGGTTTTGGACATGACCTTGGTCATAGACCGTCCAACCCTCGGTAAATCAACTATAGTGCAATTCCACTGAAGTGCACAAATCACTATAATGTATTATATTTACATGCTCTCATGGCCTTTAAAGGCCACAAAGCCCAACAAAGCATAGGCCTGAGAAAATAGCATATCAAGCAATTCCCAATCTCCTCCTTAATACATAGCACCTCATCTGTATTGTGTGCAACTACAAGCTTCTTGTCCACAACCTAGTGTAAAACCATTAGGGGTTGCCACTAAGGGCACGCTAGTCCAATGGCATTAGAGAAGAGGCAAGTGGTTTTAGTGGCATTAGAGGTTAAATCATGTTTGAGCAAATGGAGGCAGGAAGTTCGTGTTGCATATTCCAAAAGGCCAATATTGTAATGCCATTGTACTAAGGGAAATTGATTTCCAATATACGTAAACTTACAAATAAATACTTCGATAGTGCAGGAGACCCAAGTCCTAGTTTTAACTTACAGTGGAGCAACTTACAAATGAATCAGAATACTGGAGTGAGCTTTCATTTTCAAAAATATCCACGTGTATTGAGAGAGAGAGGGGTGGCAAGTGGGGAGAGAGGATGCCTAACATATTTCCATGATCTGGAAGAAACCAATCGAACTTGGAAATCCCTCTCTAATTTGGCTTGGGAAATGGTTTGCGTAGTTTGATGCAAAAACAGAAGAAAAGCGGTATTGTAAATTGATAGAACCACAAAAAACTGATGCATGCCATTGGCATCCAAGGTGCTAAATGCCACCAAGGCACTGAGGATACTACACATTCCCCTAATATATTTGCTACATCATTAGCCTCTCTAATAACACAGCGAGTGCTAACCATTGCAGAGCGGCTAAGATGGAGAATATCTTCAATGAGGTTCACTAGTCTTCAAGCACGTGCCTTACAACAGCACACGCAATGGATATTATATGAGTCCTCCAAAAGGCAGGTCTAGAGATAGATTATGTAAAAAAGCTTAATTGGTCAAGATGATGGTGGCTTCAACAATAGTGGCATTGTAAAGCCCCACAAACCATGGGTCCTGATAAGGTCAAACAAACAGCCCCTAAGCAGCCTTTAGAAAGTCCTTCAGTGCTAGTTGGGCCTGGAGTGTCCATACCATTGTTAGAAAAACCGGGCAATCTAACTGCTAAGCGCTCGGTTCCTGTTTTGGGAGGGTTTTGGTGTTCGATCGGTATTTTAAAAAAAAAAAAAAATGTATATAAATTCCCAAAACTAAGAAATTTGGTTTGTAATGCATTTTTTAATATTCTTCACATTATGGTAAAGATTAAAAATTATTTCTGCCATTAATGCTCACTTTAATTCAAAAATCGATTCGTTAAAATCTATTTTTTTCATTAATTTTCAACTTCATTTGAATCTGTTTTGTTTTAATCATTCTTTATATGCTTTTCATAGTTTAGTAGATTGTTTTTTATCTTTTTTTATTTTTTAACACTCGTTTGACCACCCGGGACTTACCGGTCAGAATGGTTACATCGGCCGGTTTACCGGTTAGGCCGGTTAAACAACTTCCATGTCCAGTTAATTGTTCTGGTTCGATTTTGCAAACACTAGTCCATACAACTTGTCAATAACATTAAAGCTTTGAGGTGCCATATTGGACAAACCCCCAAAAATAGTCTTGAGATTCCATGTCAACCACCAAGTACCAATCGTAATAAAATTTACGTCAACCACCAAGTACCAATCGCTAACAAAATTCGGGTGCCTGAAAACTCGGAAATCCTCTCTTGCTAAAGCCCAGGCAATGGCTAGATCATGAATCCACTCTCTAATACTGCCAAACAGTGCTTGTTCCTCACTTTTCATGAGCTCCATAATATAGCAGTAAATCAAAGCTTCAGAGGGATGTAAGAATCCAGCTGCAGCACAAGAGGAGGTAATTCACTGATAAAGGCATCATTTCCCTATAAAATGGTGAATTCCCCCAACTTAATCAATTCTAAATAAAGAAAACTCCAATATTCATGAAACATATTTAAGATGTCTTGTTACTAACTAAATGGTAGAGATATTAGAACTACCAAGCATAATCTGGGGAACTTAACAGACTTGATAAAATTCTAGCGAAAACTTTCAACAATCAACAATCATGTGACATGGTTAAGAATCTTAAGATTCTTGTCATGCTAATTCTATTTAAATTTACGAAGGAGACCTGCTTCAATTACAAATAAAAGCAAGTGAAATAGAGTACTGCAGAACAACATAACTTCACAGTGGCATGGAGAAACAAAGGATTTTTTTACACTGAATTAAAAGAGGATTTAGAAAAAAAATTTCTAGCAGAATGACAATGTGTGAGATATTCACAAAAAAAAAAATTTGGTTATCAACCATATCAAGTACGAAAATCCTACAAATTTGAATACTTCATTGGTTAGACTTCTCGCAAGCCAATCAAAAGTTCAAGACTTAGCTCTGATCAACAGCCTCTCTTTTGATTAACAGCCAACATAATTTGACTTTTCATCCAAAATATTAAATATAAACACATTTCTGCACTGTCAGTAAAATGCCCAACATCTAGTCATGCAGACAAGGGAAAAATGGTAGTTGCATTCAGTGATGTTATAATGGTGCAAAATGTAATAATGCCTCGCATGAGCTGTTTCATGTTACCAAACAAAAATAAATAGATAAATAAAAACTATGAAACAGAATATTGTAAGAAGGCTTTCAACTTGTGGCACTTCCAATAGGAACCCCAATTTGGGAATCACTTTTTGAATACTTGAGACATATTACCCCATTTCTTGACATTTAAAAATTCCAGCCTCGCACCTGATTTCATTTAAAGTAATGAACAGAATAGATTTTACACCACAACTGAATGTAGCAAGAAAAAATAATAAGCATCTGCCATACAAGAATTACCTCAGAAAGGAAGTGCAACAAGAAGTGAGATCACTTGGGTGGAATTGTGCAATTCTTTAATGAGGTTCTAACTTGGGTGGGTACTGCATTTCTTTAATGAGGTTCTGTCAGAAAGAGAAAGGCCGTACCCCATACAAGAATAATATCTGCAGGCAGAGCGATATTTATCAATGCAAATGTTTCAATCAGATGACGATCAGAAATAAATGTTTTCAGTTTTCCACCAGAACTTACATTATTATCCTTAGTTCAGACAAAATTTGTCTGGACAAGCAACACGCGAATTAGTTGCATAGTTTAACTATTTGCAGGTGTCCGGAAGAAAAAGAGACATGATTTTTAATAAACTATATATGCTTATTGAATATCAACTAAACAAGCTAATAACTATCCCTTGATCTTTTAAAAAGAAACCACTAGGAAAGGAAATTTACCAGTAGATCACATGACCAAGTACAACACATACCTCACGAGCCCTTAGCCCGATCTTGATGCACCCATTTAAATGTGTTGTGCTCATCTCATGGTACACCGGAGAAGCTCAAATATCCGAGTATCTTTTGAACTGCCCATGCCATGCTGTATCAGGGTACACCCATGACATGGAAAACCCATGTCTATGAAGCAGCTTTGGGAACCAAATGGATTCTAAGAGGTGCCCAATGAGACTTCCATGGATGAAATAGCAATGAAATCTCTATCCTATATTGCAGATTCTATACCCATGTTATGATTTACTTGCAGGGCTTCTTTAAAAAAACCGTTCTTCGTCAATTCAGTAATAAGGGTATGATAGGTACAAGCCTTACTACGGAGACCCTTTTCAAACATTTCCTCATAGAGATCAAATGCAATATCCAACTGCTTCTCTTTGCAATATTTCCTTATAAGTATGGGGTGTGGTACATGGTCAACAGGCACATCCATGTTCTTCATCTTAACCAAAAGCTCATGGGCTTCATGCATTTTGCCACTTACACAAAGCCCACGAATCAACTCTGTATAAGTGAATTTGTCAGGGTCGTACCCTCTTCTTATAATTTCATCATGCAATTGAAATGCAAATACACATGACCAAAACTACACAACTCACTTATAAGCAGGTTGTACGTAACCACATCAGGAAGAATCCCATTCTCAAACATTTCTTCCTTCAACATGAATGCTCCTTGAAGATTTCCTTCCTTCACATGAGCAGCATTGTAGGTGAAAATGTTGGGCGCCATGCTTAATGCTAACAAATGATCTCTCACCTCAAATACAAGCTCTGTTTCTCCACATCTTCCATACCCATCAATAACTAAATTCCACAAAAGAGGGTCAGGAAGGATAGAATCATCTAACATCTTGTGGAGAAGCTGATGTGCTCTGCATACATTTCCGTGCAAGTAAAGGCCTCGAATAACCAATGCATAAGAGATGTGATCAGGTAAAACACCATTAGAAGACATTTTAGAGTGCAACCTGAATGCTTCTACCAATTTCCCTTCTCTACAGTGTCCATTTATGAGAGTATTATATGTCACAATGTCAGGGGAAATTCCCTTCTTAAACATTTCAGAGAAGAACCTATAAGCAAATATATGAAGCAACATCAACCAAGATACCTTTTCTCAACATTTCATCCCATAATTCAAGAGCCGTAAGCATATTCCCTTCCCTGCAATGTCCATTCATAAGAATGGTCATAGTGATCAGATTAGAGGCTTCATGCTCGGTTAGTATCTTTGCTAAAAGCTTATTAGCATCTTCCAATTGACCCCTGTTACAAAGGGCACTAACAAGTGATTCTGTTGGGTTTGATGCCAATCATCACCATAAAATTTAGAAGAACAAAAGCACCGTCTATATAATTAAATCTACAGAACTCATCAACTAATGTATTATAGGTGACACAATTGGGGATCAACCCCAATTCCATTATCTCTTTCAAAAGCCTATTTGCCTTTGAGAGATATCCCAGTTTGCAGAGACAATTCATCATGTAGTTATAAGTACCAATATCGGGAACAACAAGCAATTTTTCTCTCAACCTAGGAGCAAATTCTACCTTGCCTTTGTGACACAACGCCCTGATCAAGCCAATGTGCGTGCAAATATTGGGGTCAAATTTATTCCCTAAATAATCAGTGTACCCATCCCCTACACCAATTTTCTTCAACCTATGTAAGGCATTGTTTTTTGCACATTTATTCTTCATAATAAACTTTCTAGAGCCCAAATTTCTTGATGAATTTTTACCCATACTTTTTCCTATGATCAAAGAATCACCACCCAATTGTTTTATTCAATTGATACTCCCCAAATTCTTTGTGCACCTAGTAAACGAGGAGAAAATCACAAGGTTCAAATCGAGAATCCTCTTGTTCATCTTCAAAAATCTCACCAATCTATTGCAACATTTGAAAGGAAGAATGTAACCATGTCTATTGATCACACTGACCACTAAAACAACTTCCTCGAACATCTGACCCCTTACCAGAGAAACAATAATCGTATCCAAAACCATCGGTTTTACAGAGTGATTGACAAGGAAATCAACGGCTTCAAATCTTGACCTCGATATATATAGGGATTATCTATAAAGAGAACATTATATCTTTTGTAGATAAACGTTACGATTATTCTCAGTAGTAAATTTTTTTTTAGAACTATGTGTCCGACACTCTTCCAACTACCCATTTTAAAATTTAAAGAACAGTTGTGACCCATATAGAATTATATATATATAGAAATTTCAAGTACTAAAAATATTGTATCTTGTAATGCATCGTCTAAACCATCCGTTTTCAAGTTTTTTTTAGTGTAGATGTGCTAGATTTATTTCATTTTTTGAGCTTTCAATTTCATATTGGAGGTGAAAAATAGACTCGTAGGCCAAGATAAGAATTTTGGCACCGAAAATATGTCCTTTAATGAGATTTTGAGGTGCAGATTATCGGGATTGTTTAAGGTTGATACCTTGTACAAACCTCATCCTACTTCAATATAAAATGATTGTATACAAAGAGACCATTTATTTTTTGTACAAAGATGTCACAATCACCCTTCTTTTAAATTTCAAAATAGGTAGTTATAAAAAAAAACTATGAATAACTATGAATACAAAAAATAAAGGGCGATGATTTCATGCAACCGATGTATAGTAATATGATACAATAACCTTAAAAAATTATCTTATGACCATTTGTTTGATCCAAAATTTGAAATATACACTCTTTTCATTCTAATGAACAATCACAAAAAAAAAGAAAAAATTGAAAACATAACTTAGAAAGTATTTTTTTAACCCAATTAACATTAGCCATTCATTTTGGTGAGATGCTTAGATTTAGGCTTTAGAAGGAGTTTTTCATTTCCAATTTTTTTAGATGGCTTTATTATCATTAGATGAACAATGTTAAAAAAGAAAAAAATGATTTTGAGTTTATTAGGACTAAGATCTTGAAATTCACAAAATAAATGATCTAGATTTGTTTATTGAGGGGAACTCATTTTGACCGTATATAGGGTTCAAATTGAACTTTTTTTTTGGGGGAGGGGATTGATTATTGAGATTTAGAGTGTGTGTGCAAAAATTGGGGTCATGCAAATACCACAAACAAGGTTTTCTAGAAGTGTCGTTGCATTATACTATAATACAACCATTGCATTGGATCATTGCTCAAAAATAAAGAATAAGTAGTCTTTTATAGACAATTATCAATATCAAACTAAATGTTACTTATTTTAGGACTGTTTTAGGTAGTACTGGTTAAGTACATACAAAAAGTGTTTTGCATCCACTCCTCAAATCTCGTAGGAAAATCTTGTACCCAAAGACCTGCAAATCAGTCATCTCGATCTCAACCATTGGCCAATAAAGGAAAATTGATTTCTAGCCCCTAAAATGGTCTATTTTGTAAATCGATACATCACGTCAAGTGTTCACAAATCTGCTATATACGTCCTTTTTTTATCTTCAACTTTCATAGTCAATTATAAAAATATAGATTTCTAGGCCATCACGAGAGCACTGGAGCAAGAATTGCATTCTCCCAGCTAGGTTTTGAGATGCAGCTTTACCAAATATCGTAGAGGGGCGGCTAGTCTATATACTAGGTTGACAATAAAATTTGTTAGATTTACAAATAACTTGCAAATAAGCTACTCTCCATAATGTCACAGGACTAATATTTTTTTTATATTCTTTCTTGAAAGGAAGGTACACACCAATAAAAGATTAATTTGCATATGGAGAGCTTAAAAAACTTTCAAGCATGATATGGCCAAATCAACATCTGTTGTGTTGGTAACTCATTGTGAGAGAAATCACAACTTAGAATCTTGTTTGATGCGAATAACAATTTGCCTATCTCCTCTCTTCTTAACACTCACGAAAAAAGACAGAAGCAAATATGCAGCCTGTGAGACATTTTAATGGTTGTTACCATGGCCATTGCTTTGCAACGCTCCAAAAGAACAAAAACATTTGGACTTTCCAGTGTTACACTGTTCCCAAGCCATCTATAGAAGACATAGAGGTATTTCCAATATAGGAAAAAATAAATTTTTTTTTTTTTAAATGTGGTGTATGATATACCACAAATATTTCATAATGGAAAAAGTTTATACAAGGTTGTGACCTTAAAATGTAGAATTAAAGCTCCACCTAAAAAATCCATCATAAAAGGTTGTTTGAATGTTGTAAAACCCTCTAATTGATCGTCTCGACATCGAGATGTATGAATATGAAAGGCAAAAACAATTTCGAGTCCACGAAATAGTGTATCTTGCAACACATTATCTGGACGATCTATTTTCAAGATTTTCATGTGTTTATAGATCTACGTGATTTAACCATTTTTAGATATTAAAATTTTATAATTAGATATGAAAATAGATTCTCAAGCCATCCTAATAAATTTTTATATCAAAATTACATTTAGGATAAAATTTAGAGGTGCTCCTTAATTAAATTGTTTAAGCTTGCAACTTTATACAAACCAGACCCCTTTTTTTTTTTTTTGCTAAAGGTAAGCAATATTATTAATAAATAGATGGGAACAAAATTTTACATCTAGGCATTCCCAGACGGAAATACAATAGTACAAGAAACAGTTGAGAACACCACTTTCGACAATGCCATCAGCAGTGTTAACAGTCAACTAAGTAATGAATCAAAATCTTTTATACTCAATGAGATCCCACGTGATCTCAGTCCAAACATAATCAGGTGGATTGTCCCAGAAATTGGTCAGTCGAGAATATGCAGCTTTCTTTGCTAGTAGGTCAGCCACATTGTTTCATTCCCTGAAGATGTGTGTTATCTTCCAAATTATAGCATCTAACTATGTCCGAAGGATAAGCCATTTTTGTGAAAATGTCCATGGGATTTTTCTGCCTTTAATTGCTTCAATAACAGCTATTGAGTCACATTCTATCCAAACCCTTTCCACACCTTTCTCCTTTGCAATCTCAATACCTTGGAACAGAGCAGCAAATTCTGCGAAGAAATTTGTTGTATTACCCAGACGAGATGAAACAGTCCAACCTAATATGCTCATTGAATTTTTGAAAACACCACCCGCCCCAGAATGATCCAGATTGCCTAGTGCACCATCAACATTTAGCTTGAACCATCCTTCGATCGGCTTCCTCCATATGATCTCCACGGGAGTTTTTGGCCGTGACCGTTCTGCAGGGATATCAAAGGTCCTCAGGATTTGGAGATCTAAATGACTTTTCGGTAATAAGTTATTCATCCCTCTTGCAGCTTCCATAAAATCTTTTTTGATACTTGTGATGACCACAAGGGATATCCTCTTTTGTTGATTAAATCGTCTTGAGTTCCTCTCTCCCCAGATGTGGTATTGAATAAGTATAAATCCAGCTCTTCATATTTGTGGAAAAGGTAGTTGTTCTACCTTATTGTTCCACCATTGACATAGTTCTTGCAAATTTAAAACATTCGACCACACCTGGATACCAAATATCTCCAAGAACCATCTCCACAGATCAAGTGAAAATAAACAATCAAGAAATATATGACAGCTAGTTTCACAACTCTGGAAGCATAGCAAACATTGAGAGGCTAAAGGAATTCCTTTGGAAGTAAAGGAATCATTAGTAGGTAACTTTAACTGCATAGGCCTCCAGTCAAAGACCAAGTGTCTTGGCTGTAAATGTGGTTGCCAAACAATTGAATACCAAGAAACCTGGTTGCTTTTCTCCCGAAAAGTTTCCCACGCAGTGCAAGAGGAAAATAACCCAGACAATGTAGGTTTCCAAATACAAACATCAAAAACATCAATGGTGGGTAATTGAATGAGTAGAATTTGTGAGAATAAATCATTTAAAAAGGAAGAAGAAACAGAAGGAAGAGACCATTGAGTACCCGAGATGAAACTGGATACCTTTGCATTAAAGTTTCGAAACACCGAAGCATTAAGACCTGAAGCTTCTGCTATGGTAATGTCCCCCATCCACTTGTCCTTCCAAAAATTTATCTTAAAACCATCACCAATAATCCAGTGCTCATTATCCGTAACCAAGTCCCAAACTTTTAGGATGTCAGACCAGATAGAAGAGGAAGAGGACTTTTTGATTGATCCATCTTGCCTTAGATATTTAGCTTTCGTAAAGTTGCCAAACATTGTATCTTCATGTTTAATTGACAACCATAACTTTACAAGAAGGGATTTGTTAATGTCCCTCAATTTGCTCACACCAAGCCCACCTTTAACTTTTGGCTTACAAATTTGGTCCTATTTGACAGCAATCAATTTGAATTATCAGGGTCCCCAGACCAAATAAAAGTTCTCATCCATCGTTCTATAAGTGCAATGATTGAGGACGGCCACCAATAAATAGAAAAGTTTTGTATTAGTAGACTAGTCGCCACCTACTTGATTAGTTGAACTCTACCTGCCATAGAGAGTAATTTACCTTTCCAGCTTGAAATTCTGGCTTTAAATTTGTCCACCATTTCCAAGATGTGCTCTTTTTTAACCCGGTCCTTAAAAGATAATGACATCAAGATACTTTGTTTGTAAGCAGCATTTAGTAAATTCCAAAATTCTACATATCTCATTTTTCCTTGTGCCTGGAATTCTTCCAAAGAAAATCTTACTTTTTCCTTGATGTATCAACTGGCTAGAATACTTTTGGTAATCTGCAAGAAAGCTCTTCATGTTTTTTACATGTTTGATATCTGCATTCATAAAAATAAAAACATCATCAGCAAAAAGGAGATGCGTGGGTACCTTGGAATTCCTTGGACTTGGAAGACCTTTAATTTTTCCCTTTTCTCTTAGGTTAGAAATACCCCCGCATAGAACTTCTTCCACAATGATGAAGAGTAACGATGCTAAAGGATGACCTTTTCTCTTAGGTTAGAAATACACCCTTTCATAATACAAGTTGATGTGTAAATTACTTTTGGGTTTTAGATAGGGGTGAGAGTTGTATAAGGTTGAGGCCCTAAACAATCAAACTAACTGTGCAATTTCAAATAGTATCGAAAGATGTTTCAATACTAAGAATCTTTGTGATGACTTGAAAATTTATTTTCATATCTAATTATAAAATTTAAAGGTTCAAAATAGTGTAGATCAAGCAGATCCATAAACACTTGAAAATCTTGAAAATTGACGGTCCAGAAAATGCATTACAAGATACACCATTTTGAAAACTTGAAATCCTTTTTTTTTCATGTCTATACATCTTAAGGTCGAGATGATTGATTTGAAGATTTTTTAGCATCGAAACAACCTCTTCTAGTGAATTTTTAAGGTTCACCTTAATTTGATTGTTTAGGGCCTCACCTTTATATAATTTTTTTCCTTTAGATATTGCAAGATAATCAAAGGTCAATCACAGACCTTAGTTAGATACTCTCAACTGAGAAATTATTCACATCAATAATAAGCTGTTTTCTATCATAAACTCGGTATTGTATATTATGAGACCATTTATTTTTATTACAAGGAGGTCACAATTGCTATTAGTCATTGGATATCCAATTGGATGGCTTGGGATGTGTCACAAAGCCAAGAGATTTTATTTGTTTTTTTCTTTTTGAAGTTTGAGTCGAGCCAATGACATACAACTACCTGATTTAAAATTGAATGGACGAGAATGATTGCGACCTCCTTGTATTAAAAATAAATGGACTCTTTGTATACTTTTCCTCAAACTCTCTTTGTATACTTTTCCTCAAACTCATTGTCCTAAAGAGAATTATAACATTCAGGGCAAAGGAGATTAGTAGCTTACATTACATAATAAAAGAGAAAGAAAGAAATGAGAAGGAAAAGGAAAAGGTTGCAAGCTCTATTTCCTTAATACAAAATAAACACAAGAAATATAATGCCCCACTTGTTCCTTAAAACTCAAGCACACAAAGGATGGCTCTCAGAAAAAGCAAAAACAAAAACAAGAACAACTCATGCACTGCATTCAGTTCTTCCATTTATTTCATCTGACTTTGAGATCTAAGACATGGGTCCAAACCAAGACTATGAGCTCTGAAACACAACTGCCCCATGTCCTTTTGCATCTTGCATCTCTTTAAGTTATCCATGTTTCACCTCACTCCACTTCCAAGTATTCTAGAGGGAGGAGAGCCCTTCCCTGGGGATCATTTTAGGGAGAGGAGCTAGGGCTACTAGTCTTAGTAATACAAATAAGCATCTCTAGAAGCTTTCCTGCCAAGCATCCTAGAAAAAGAAGAGCCCTTTCCAACTACTCCATAGTGAGAGCTTGGACTATTAGAGTCAGTAATCCAACCCAACTTCTCCAAGAGTTTTCTAACATACTTTCCAGTCACATAGGAGAGACATGAAGCTGCCACTCCTATGGCAACATATTGCAAAGTCGTCTTGATATAAGACTTTGAGGTGACCTTTGCCTTTGCAATGGCAAGCAAAATTACGCAGAGGAGAGAGGCGGCTGACATCGCAATGAGCTTTTTGCCTTTGTCATCGCTCTCTCTAAAGGAGAAGCCGTATGTGATGGGAGCCACCAACCCGAACACAATGTATGATACAAATGTTATAAATACATGGAACCCAAACCTCTCTGGATGGCCAACTATCTCAGCAAATTTACTTGGAGTTTTGCGTAACTCAACAAGCTGCACAAAGGCAAATAAAGCAAAAATATAATCCCATGTTATTTTGGGAAAGCATATTAATAGTCAAATGCATTATGTAAGAACCATCATCTACGGAAGTCATGAACTTTTTGATGAAATGATTCACAAAACGATGGAGGGGACCCACCTAAATAGGTTATGGATCAAACGGTGGGTCCCATCAGTCCTCCATCACTGTACATCATTTCATTAGACAGTAGGGGGCCAACTGGCCCTAGGTTGTATAGCCAACTATGGTAGACTTTTCTGTTTGGTAAAAATACAGTAGAACTGAAGAAAGATTATGAAATTTAGTGAAAGTGATCCAACCATTCGAAGGGTCAGAAGAGGCAAATCACTATACATTTTAAGGAGTTCAAAGACATGTATTACTGGTTGCCGACGTCGCATGAGACCATGATTTCCATGGTCTGTTAATGAAAGTACACTTCCCGTTTATATGGTAAATAAAGTGGAATTGGAGTCTAGCAAGATAATGGAATACAGAGAAAATGGTATACTTGGAAACTGACAGGAGTTCAACTCACTATACGTTTTGAGGACTACAAAGATAGGAATAACTAAATGTCCATCCATAAAGCATGTCAATTTGCAATCACGACAAACATGTGTCCTAATTTCGTAAGTTATATGCTATAGTCTAAGATGGCCCAGTAAGGAGAATGATGGTGATACGACAGTTGCATTTCTCAAAATCAAGAACACGGATGATACATGTATCGAATTTGACTCACAATAGATTATATTATAGCTTGTACAACACATAAATATATGGATCCAACACATTGATGAATATGTACCATATAATAATTCATAACATTTTATTTTATATATACTAAACTTCCATCTCATTTTCTATTTACAAGTATCCTAGGAGTAACCGATATCATTATCCATGTCAACACAGTGTGACACTAGTACTTCAAGCACATATGAGTATACATGCATCATAGGCTATGCGTGGGGTAAAAAAATACAAGCGGAATGGGGATGAATTAGATCATCTCTGCAACATCAAATGGTCAAGGTCTCAACCGCTACATAAAACTGATGAGGTCGGGATTGGGAGTCCTAAGGTATTTATATGTGTGGGCATGTTGGCATGCAAGTGTTTCTTGGAGTTTTATTCTCCGTTCATCAATTTTCCTTTGCCTGCTGTTTTTTTAATATA